CAGCAAAATTCATACCACATCATTCGGAATTAAATCTGTTGCCTGTGGTGCTGAGCACACCCTCGTACTGTCGGAAGATGGAGGCTATATTCTACTGGTAGCAATGAGCATGTAAGTACAATACGAATGTTAGTAGTCTATGGAGCTCGTCGTTGCAGTGTCAGCTGGGCCGATCGATTTCTGAAGGCTCGATTGATTCCGAGCTTGCTCCTGTTGCTTGTATGCCCGTGGAGCCCATAGAGTCCATTGCATGCGGGTATTTCTGCTCATTCGCCGTTACGGTCAATGGAGAGCTTTGGGCGTGGGGAGATAACAGGTATGCTTCGTGAGGTGACTTCCTCAGCACTATGCCATCCGATTGAGCATTCGTAAATCATGCCTGCGAGATGACGAACTGGAGTTCGGCCGGACACAGAGTGTATTTACCCCATAACCGTGCCTACTCTGACCCTCATACATCAATTGTGCTACTTATTTGCTTCTTGAAAATTGCGCAAAGTGATAGCTTGATACTGGGGAACCTAATTTTCCGCTCATCCCATGGGTCATTCGGACTTCGCATCCTCCATCAAGTGAATAGAGGAGCTGTGTTCGAGCGAAACTTCTAGTCTTTGTGCTGGATGCAGATATGGTCAGCTAGGGATACCATCATCGCATGCTGAGAGCGTTCAAGAGCCAGTGATGGTATCGATATCGCCAACCTTCAAGGTCAAACAAGTATCATCAGGCTTCGCTCATACCTGGGTTCGAAGTCGAGAGCCCGAATCAACTGGCGTCTACTGGGAATAATCAGCATGGCGAGCTAGGTACTAACCTCATACTATCACTTTGAGATCAGCAACGCATTTCATTCCTCTTGTGATAGGTACCGGTGATCGGGTGTCGCTGGACGGCGGATGGAACCTATTGCAGAGCACGGTAATAGGACGGCGTGCAAAAACTGAACTTGATTCGTTTCGCTGTGTCTAGGTCCCCATCGAGAGCATATCTTGCGGGAACTGGGTGACAGTGCTACTCACCTCCCCAGGTGACGTTTTCCAAGCCGGTGTTGGTCCGAGTCCCATAAGCGAGCCGAAGTTGCAACAGTAAGAGTGAAGCATGCTCGAGATTCGTCGGTCAAAAACGCCTTCGGAGTTGTCGTCTAGAGCGATTGATCGATTTCATCCACAGTATGACAGCTCGAGGCTGCGCTTATATTTCGTGCGAACTACAGCGCGAGAATCTTCGTTGCTAACGCGAAATGCCAATTCTTCGAGCAGAACATTCTCAGAGACGGTGCCGAGGCTGTCAGTATTTCTGAGCACTCCTTAACTGAGCAGGATGACATGGATGGGCTACCACTCCTTTCTCTCATCGGTAAGCTATTCCTGTGTAGTTAGCCGTTGCATAGGTTAGAGCTATCAGGTCCACCATCAACGACTACGACGGGTAGTTTGGAATGTGTGCCACCCCGGAAACTCGATCTCCCAGACGACTCTGACATTACCAGCGTATCATCAGGCTGCATGTGCAGTGGGGCATCAGATAAGAGTGGAAAAGTGTAGGCTTACGCTATCACTGTCCTTCTACTGTGACTATACTTGCCATATGGGGAAGGTGACGACTCTCGCGCAGATTGGTGTTAATTATAGAGATGCTCTGACGGATTGCTGCAGTGGTGCAGAGTCGGAAGCAACTGACGCTAAGAATCGTCTATCTCTGAAAGGAATATCTATCTCTCATATGCCTTTGAGTATCATATAGTGCGAGATCACGGTCAATCTAGGGCTGGCACTGAACTAACTGCGTTGATCGTTCGTGTAGTTCTAGTATCTGCTTGATTCCAAGAGTGTTATTAGGTTCATCTGGCGTAGTGACTCCCCCGATGAGTTCCGCGCCATCGCAGGTTCAGCGAAGTAAGCACTTCCCGCACCGTGATCATTGTGGTGGTGGATTGCATGCGTTCTCTCATAGGTACCGGGAGGTGGTCGCACTCTCCTCGAGCATTGCAGCCCTCATCTAGAGGGCGCGATAACTGTGCACAATGGGAGTACCGCAAGTACGCTTTGCACAACTTGTGTAGTGTGGATAGTGCTTTCGAGACGTGATGAAAATAAGCTCTCACTGGTCGAAGTTGGTCTTGTGTTTAACGAATTTGAACTTGTGTTTCCGAAGTCATAAATTTCATTCTCGCATTTGAACTTTCATTTCCGGGTAGTCTACGAAAATACAACTTTCCTTTTGAATTTGAATTTTCATTCGGGGAAAATCTCCTTCCGTCCGACTAAAATCATATTCCATTTTCCTAGTTTGTTCTTTCATTTGCTGAATTTGAGACTGAAAGTGTAGAAGATTGAGCATTAGTATCTCTAGAAGCATCACGAAAGTCCCAGATATCAATACCGCGATTACGACCAGGACGATACGGTCACGAAATAGGCGAATAGACACAGGGGATACCCCAGAAAGCTTCAGAATAGTCTTGAGTGCATCAAGGACGTGCTTCTTACTAACATCATAACTCAGGTTGATCATGAACAGTCGACAATTATGAGCAGCCTCACTAGTATTCATCGCCGAATCAGCAGGCGTCGTAACCACTGGGTCGCTATCCATAACATCAACAGCGGCTTGACGGGACAATCGTCCGGTTATAGCAGCACGCCGAACCAGTACCGCATTATGACGCCTACCATATTCAATCAGACTGATTGAATCAGTTGCTCTAGTGATGGTACGTTACCATGACGATGCAAAATATCTTCACAAATATCATAAGGGAAACTACCGAAGAGTGGATCACATACGTCGTCTGTAGTCAAAGGCACACGTAGTTGTGAATCAACTGGCACTCGCATATAATCAAACCTTAAATTGAGCTGATCGAGGGTCTCGCGTTTAGTATCCCAACTGAGCCTCCTCGATCGATCAATCAATATACGATTGGACTCTATAGAAAGAAAACGTTCCACCAACTCAGATCGAATACATCCAGCTCGCCGAGCAGCTTTGCGATAACTGGAATATCCTTGTTGGGCCATAACCAATATCCCACGAAGGAGTGCGTTCACACTCATGTAGGAAGGAGAGAACCGACCGAGTATCTTTAAAATTTTTGAATAACCCTCCAGGTGGTTCTGTAGTTCACTCGGAGTCTCCGAGTCGGAGACAACCCACTCAATAAGTCATCAGCATCTCCGAGACCTCTTGCATCTATGAGACCAGCCTTGTCTCGTGGAGGCACAATAGTCGACAACTCTAGCGGAGCTTCTTCTTCTATTGATGATAAAGTAACATCAGGTCCGTCAACAACATCGGATTGAGCTTGTTGAGTAACTGTGACCACGTCTGGGTCACTCTGAGCAGTACCAACTAGTCTTACAGCCGTTCCCACTTCCTGGCTTTTCCAAAGGAAGTCTACAGACTCCAGATGGAGTAGTTATCCAAATCTAAGTTAGGGATGGAATACGATCATGTAGAGTCCCATCATATGCAACGCGGCACCACTGGTGTCATGATGCAGCATAAAGGAGCAGTAGAACGAGACGCTGTTGACGGTCGCCGGTATATGCATTCACTCGTAGATATGGCGAAGACGACCCGCGGCAAATTTCGTAGTAGTTGATTCAGCAAACAGAAAGCTCAATATGATCCCCGCGGAGGCTTGCAAGAATGAATTGGGTCCACGCATTTGCTCTAAATTGCACGAATATCCTTTCCTTGCCAATTGTGGAAACTTTCCCAAACTTTCGGAAAATCCCCGGAAAGTTTTCTATGAAGCTTTCCGCCGTTTGGATCCTTTTCAGACACCTGCGTTGAGTCGTGACGAGGGCATGGCAGGTCATAAGTTGAGGTTCTTCATACTACGCATCATCTGTGCACCATACAGTGAGGGG